CCCCCGCTAGTGGATCCTTTAGCCGCTGGACCCCATTTGGCCCGTTTTCCCTACCCACCTGGGACCATCCCCAACCCATTGCTAGGGCAGCCACCTCATGAGCATGAAATGCTCCGACATCCAGTCTTTGGTGAGAGCATTTTATGGTTCTGTATGAAGGTTGGCTCTTGATCTGAACTGTCATCTTCTGGGTCTTCACGCTTCTAGGGAGGGGAGGTGGTGGAGTCGAGCTGTAACTTAGGTTACAGCCAAAGGTTGGTTTGTCTAACAAAAAAGCTTCATGGGACAACTCTCTGCAGACCTCATAGCAAACAAGTGTCTAAACATGGGCAACTGTCTCTTAGGTACTCCTTATCCACGAGATCTGCCTGGTGCCATTCCACCTCCTATGTCCGCAGCCCACCAACTGCAGGCCATGCATGCCCAGTCAGCAGAGCTGCAAAGACTGGCAATGGAGCAGCAGTGGTTGCATGGGCATCCTCACATGCATGGTGGTCATCTACCAAGTCAGGAAGATTATTACAGGTGAGAGGTGCAATGAAGGTTTTCGGAGACATAGGGGTGCTTACAGCTTCCTTTGTCTGTGTCCACATTCCATGTTTTTTCTTCCTGAATTACTGCCTTTCTTACTGTGTGTTGAGTTGCTGTCCTGAAGCAGTTACTGAAGGTGGGTGAAGCTGTACTAAGACCTAATTTGGGTGTAGGTGGTGGAGCAGATGGAAAGCTAGGTCCAAATTACTGGCACAGGATGTGGACTAGTTGAGTCTTTCATTGCAGAACTATCCCTGATTGGGGCTTTTAGTGTGATACTTCAGATTGCTGCTTCCACATCTTTCTTCCTTGAGAACAGTGGAGGAGGATGGGTAAAGCTTTATGAATGAGAAGAGAGGAGGAATTCAATGCATCTTAAGATACTACCAAGGGGAGTAGGAAGTTGAATTGTGTGAATAATATGGATCCTACATTACCAGCTGAGAAAGGCTAGATGAATCATGAGTTCTTGTCCCCGGAATGCTGTATGGTGTCCATAGTGGTGTTCTCTCTTGTCCTACCTTAGGTGACAGTATCCTCATTCCTGTTTGGCAGTGGCCACTGAGGATACTAAGAAGAAAAAGCCACAAGCACCTAGTGAGGGTCATTCCACATGTCTGTGGGTAGGAAAGATACGGAGGAAGCAGCATATTAAACACCTGCCTTGTGCTGCTTTACTCTGATGTTTCAGCCCTTGCTTCTGCTACCCAAAATTGCCTGCTGGCCTTGTGCCGTGGGGGCAGCCAGTTGGCCTGAAGCTGTCATCTCTGCGGCTGCAGATAAAGCTGAAGCCTGATGAGCTGGCACTAGTGATCTTGCTCACATGTAAGGAGTGCTGCAGTAGCAAAAGGTCAGCGCTTCCTCCCGCAGCAGCCAGCCTTATCGCTGCTGTTACAATGGCTCTCGTTTTGTGCTGAAAGCTCACAAGTCCTCTTGCAACCTCTGTTCCCTTCAGGGCCGCGGGTGAGGTGAGCAGGAAGTCAAAGTTGTCTCTGAAGTGTCTGACACCTCCTTCGTTTTGTTAAAATGAGTTTTCTTTCTCTTTTCAGTCGACTGAAGAAAGAAGGCGACAAACAGTTGTAATAAATTATTTATTTGTAATGCTGGCTGTGGAAACCCCAGTCCTTGGGAAGGAGTGGAACATTTTTACATACAATAAGAGCTACAAAAGGAAAAAAAGAATATCTTATAAAGATTTCTTTATATATTTAAAACAGAAACAACCACCCAACAAGTAGAGACTTATCAACATAGTGTTTCATTTGTAGAGAAGATTTCTCAAGACTGGTGTGGGTCTCCCTGCATGACAACGTATTCAGAAGCCTATTGAAAATACAGGACTGTGTGGAATATTCAGAGAACTTCCTGCAATCTTGGTTTTTTGGGGTTTTATTTTGTTTCTTACTAGTTTGTTTTGAGTAGGTGCTAGAATCAGGTTCACAACACAAGTCACTGTGCGTGAAGAGACACTCAATGCATCTATAGCTATTTTAATAAAAACAAGGATTGCAAGTAGGTGACATAACAAGCTCTGAATCCAAGTGCTATAATAATAAAAAAAGAATCTACTTTTATTTTAATACATTGTAGGAAATCTTCATAATTTTCAAGAGAGCTCAGTTCTGCAGCATGGCTTTTTAAGTCTGTAAATAACCTTTTTTTGGGTAGGGGGGAGAAACAAAACAAAACACAAACTCCAGAAGCATTTATCTTGATTTTCAGTAACATCACAAATTGTGAATTCCTACCTGGTATTGACAGAATACAGAGTTGATTTTTTAATAAAAAAAAAAATTATATATATAATTATCCCTTTAATTAAAGGGAACGATGGGTATCAATAATTTCAAATGGGTCAACGCTTGAAATTTGGTTTGCTATCAACAATAAGCATTAAAGAGAGTTGCAGGGATAATGTTGCAAATGACTGTTTCTGTTCTTGGTTTTTTGGTTGGTTTGGTTGTTTGGGGGTTTTTTGTTCGTGTTACATCTCTCTGTTCTGCAGCTGATTTCTGTTGAGTTGGGTTTCTGAGCAGTACAGATGTCCCTTGGAGCTCGCTTACCCTTTTTGATGCCTGCTTCAAGGGTTCATTATCAGTGTGGCCATAATACACTTCTTTCCTATTACCTTTTGAAACTTAATCTAACTACATTGGGTTTAGACTGTAAGGGAAAATTCAAAGAAATAATCTATTCTAAAATCTCTTTTTAAACATGTTCCATGGCTCAAACGAGTACAGCCAGAGTTTTGTAGCCATGTGCATCCTTTTGGAGGACGTGCTCTTTCTGGCCTCTTCTGTTTGATATGTTCTTAAGAAAAGTGGACTAGGCAACTCCGTTAGTGTTCTTAAAGATGTTCTGCAAAGACCAGCCTCTAATTCTCTTTAACTGTTTTAGGTTTGGTTTTGTAAGCAAAAAACTTTTTAACTGCCACCAGTGTTCTGTATCTCAGGAACTTCCTGCTTTGGGATTAACCGTAGACAGTAACATTTACTGACTCCCAACACAACAGGTCCATGCAGAATAACTCCTGTTGGGTAGTTCCCCTGTGGAGGGGAGGAGAGGAATGCACAGAAGGCCAGCAGGCATTATTCTGGAGACAGCTCTGCTTACTGTCTAGCAGATCCATTTTTTATCTCACTGTTTTGCCATGGGTTTTCTTTGCCAGAGCAGAGGGTGATGCAGCCAATGGACATCTGAATCTGCTGGCTTTTTTTTCTGCTGGTGCGTAACTTCCCCCCATTCTCTCTCTCAAGTCGTAAGTGCTCTCTCTCTGCTGTTGTAGACTGTTCAGTGTGATGGTTGTGTCATAGGACTGTACTGAGCCATGCTTGATAAACTTGTAGTTAATCATACATCCTGATGGAAGGCATGGCATGCACAGTGCTTTATCTGCCTCATGCATCTCAAACCAGGGACTGTGTCCAAAGGTTACTGCTGGACAGTTGGTAACATCAGTTGACCAATTCAAAGCATGTATCAGGGTATTCCTGGTCCACTTGAGGCAAGAATGTACAGGAGAGAGGGGAGGACTGTTTTAGCTTATGTCGATCTTCCTTTTTTCCTGTCCTCATTCCGGATTTCTCAGTGCTGAAGAGCTGCAGTAGCATTTAATCAGTTCCATCTGCTATGTTTGAACTCTGTGTGAAGGCATTAGGAACAGTTAGTGTTTCTGAGAGCTGGAAACCAGGAGGTCAGTCTAGAATCGAGGATGGTAAAGTCTTCAGTCAATGCCTTCAGTTGCTGTCTGCAGCGATCAGGTGAAATGGTTTCTTCTACCTTTGCAAACAGTGGAGTAGTCGGTAAGATCAGTCTGCTCAGCAGAGAGAGTGCCTCAGGTTACTTTAAAGGTCTAATTGGGCACATTTCAGGTGAACCTCCCCTCCTTGGTTTTACCATGGGTAATTTGGGAGTCTGGGGGAGTTGAGCCACTTCAGCCATTTCTTCTTGATCCTTCTCTTTTGCTGTTATTTTTAGCCATAGTTTTTCTTAAGGAAAAACCCAACCTAATTGCCTTCCGTGGTCCTCTCTCTGTCTGTACTGGTTTTTTCAGCTGAAGCTTGCAGTCTGTTCAAAAGCTGTTCATTGATTTTTAACTTGTATTTTCCCTAGAAAAGCATTCTGATAATTTATAGGAGTTTTTTGTTCATTCAGCAAATAAGCACTGAAATTCTTCCACTTCAGACCGATGATTAACTACAACTTTTCATGCAGTGGTTTTTGAAGCCATCTCGGTGTTCGATGCCCTGTTAAAACAACCCAGACCTTTTGCTTTTCTTTAAGAAATCTCTCTTCTTTTGGTTTTTTTTCCCTCTGTTTGGAAAGTTGATTTTTTAATTTTGCTTTAGTGTTTTTGAAACGTCTCTCTTGTTCTATGTTGTCATGGTTGAGCTTGTTTCACTGCACCGTTAAAGCAGAGTGTACATTCTGACTGCTACATTTATATATATCTTGAAGCTTAATGTATATATGAGTAGTTTGCGATGGGATAACACAGTGTAAACAGAGTAGAAACCCAGAAATCGTGACTTCTGTGTTCTCTCCATTTGAGTATTTTGTAATTTTTTTGAAATATTTGTGGACATAAATAAAACCAAGCTACACTACAGCAGCCAGGTTTTGCCTGCAAGCGAAATGTCTCTTGATTGTTGTCAGTGGGAAAGGAGTTGTTTTCCTCTGGGATTATATGGGATGCCAGCATGGCCATCTTGTCTGTTACAAAGCTGTCCTGTCTTTCTTGGCTTTATTTTTAACTTGAGGTCATTTTATTTTTAATAGACTGTACACCAAACACCAACATCATGTCCAGTGTGAAGAGTATATTCTGCCTCCCTGAGGCACATCTATGCTCTACGGCTAATGCTGGATAACTTCGTCATATTTTCCCCCAAGATAAGCAGTCACATTGATAAGAGTGAATGTGTAAGGATGTTCTGGCTGTTGTGACTTCAGGGGCTTTCTGTGTACAATGGTCATATATTGTAGGCACTGATCTGCCTGAGCACAAACAAGTAGCTAAGATGAAGCGTGTGCTTAAGTTTTAATTGCATCAGCCAAAGATGAGTAGAAGGATGAGAACTTGTAAACCAGAGAGGACAGTTCCCCCAGTTTCAACATCTTTTAGATTTGCCTGTGAACCAAAGGTGTTGAGAAGACATGCAAAGGGGAATGAGGACTGAGGACTTGAAATTGGATATAGTACACTACACACACCCCAGTAGCCTAGTTCTTTAAGCATCTTACTTTCTAAGAGATGTTATTTTGTGCCACTAACAACCAATACAGAGCTGGCAAGAGATGCATTTTCCAAAGGGATAATTACAGAGAGGAAGACGCACGATAATTCATTGTTTAATCATTGCCTGCTGAAAAGCTGAAATTTGCTTTCAGATTGCATCAAGTTACGTGTTTGTGTACATTTGTAGTGGCTCCCTGTCTTCCATCTGGCGGAGATTATAATGTATTTGTGTAGCTGTTTGAGTGTTCTGTATTGGCAGTTTGTGATAATCTGCATCACCAAAATTAAAGGCAGTGTTGTGATGCTCAGAGAGAGGTGATGAATGTCTTCACAGGGTAAACCTTTGGAGCAAAGGGAGAGGGGAAGGCTGCATTGTTGATCTGGCTCTGCTTTGATCTATGATTTTTCAGTAGTAGTGAGGTATTTTGACTCCAGTTCAGGCTAATTAGTGCTCTGAGTACAGTGAGAAGAGAGAGCCCTGTTGTCTGAGTGTACTTGAAGCAGATGGACAAGTATTCATGACAAATTGCACAGGAGTTTGGAGCTGCCCATTTGAAGAGGCTGCTCTATTTATACCCTGTGGCATTTTATAAGGGGAAGGTCAGATCTTGTCTACTGGAAAAATAGCTTCTGAAAGCGCCTCTTCTGAGGCTGGCTTGAACATGTGCTGTGGTATTTGGCATTTCTTTTGGGGGGGGGTGGGGGGTTAATTCCTTGTACTTAATGTAGAACTTGAATGGGCTCAGGCTTCCCTCCCTTTTTGAGGTGAACGAGACTTAAAATGGTGAATTCTACAGGGACGAGGACAAAGAGGATTTTTATCACTGCATTAATAGAACAACACAGCTCTGTTGCTATAGTGGTGGTGTGTTAATGCTGCCTTGCCATTGCAAGAGTAAAGGCTGGAAACCCATCTGTCGCATGGCTTTTTTATATGCACATTACCAGACTTGAATGTCATGTCAGCTGTAAAAAGTAACTTAGGCTGTGGGGTTTCAATCCGTCCCAGGCCACGGTTAGCTTTTTACAACCTCCATTCATGCAGGCACAAGGAGAGAAGATGAATATAGGTGTCAGGCTTAGGAATTTCATCTTCTGTTCTTCGCACGTGAAAAGCAGGTCTTGTGGAAGCTCTGGTCCTTGCAGATGTCCCTGTGCGTTGTTAATGCCTAAATACCTGTAAAACTGGCGTCTGGTCGATGATGACAACTGGAAAGCAAGAATAGCACATGTCAGTGTCCCGCACTGACACACTTCAGTCCTGCTGCTTACAGGAATACGTTGCTCACATACAGCTAATGAAATGACAAAAGCTTCACGTCAGACTCTGTTTCAGCATCTTCACATAAAGTCGTGGAGGAATAAGGAAAAACTTACTGATTTTTCAGTCAGATTAGAGGCAGCGCACCTTACCAATAACTTGTTAATGTTCTTACTAATTATTGACTTTTAATAGGGCTGTAGTCATGAGGCTTAGCTAGAAAATGGAGCAAATACCTATTTTGTGCAGAGTTTTTCTTCGGTTGTGTTGTTCTCTTTTGAAGTGCTGGCTATTTTTATCCCGTTACACAAATACACGGATACGGGCCCGGAGCTGCTCTGTCAGCGGCGGCCATGAGGGGAGGCGGCGCGG